CGCCACTAGTTTCCCGCCATACCACCTCCTCCTCCCCTATCATCAGCTTACAGTAGTACCGTGGAATTCCATAGCACCTTATTGGCCCTCCACCCAGTGCCGAAGCTGCAGGCGGCGTGTGCATACCCGAACCCCCAAAGCCTCGGCACCTAGGCTTAGTTCCCACCAACCCACGCCACGTGGCGGGCTCCGCAGGTGTTAGCCCCAAAAACCGCCCCGACAGGCTCCCCAGAACCGGCGATCGCATCAGGATTGGACGGCCCCGCACAACCAACGTGCAAGCCCGCGCCTGTAAATTTTCCCATTGCTCTATTGCATCTATGCCCCTGGACCTTGCCACCGGAGATCTCAGTTCCGACCTGGGACTCCACCCCCATTTTCCAAAAATCCTTGGCACACCCCTTTTGCACTTCCGGGCCCACACTCTACTCCGATCAGGAAGTCGCGCCGGGCGTGAGGTTAGGGCGTCACATAGCCTTAAAAATTGCAACCACTGTCGACCAATTGGGCTTGCTTTTTCATTCAGTTGCTTTTATCCTCTTTAGAAACCAAGCTGGAAGGGCTGCAGTGGCTCCATCTGCACTCATGCGTACCTACAGCCTTCTGGTGCTCGGAGAAAGGCATGGACGTATCTGTTCTCTGTGACGCATGCCCGCATCCTTGCTTAGCAGATGGGTTGCAGTCGTGGTGGGAGTGTGTTATCCGGTTTCTGGGAATTCGTGGACTCCCTCTGGGCATGGGCATACACCTTGAGAGGATTTTGAAGTAAAGATCTGGTTTTCACAGGCAGGATCAGCCCACTGTACAAGAAGCATCAGCCAGGTACTTCAGCACAGATTTTCAGTTTGAGAGCGTTTTGGACAATTTGGCTAGCTAGGAGAGACAGGCATTTTCTTAACTCTAAACCTTCCCTCTCTACTCTCATTGCACAATTCAGACATTCTGTTAGACTTGAGATAGCAGCTGACTGGGTGAAAACCAAAAGGCAAGAGCTTCCTCTTTAGACCTGGCCAAAGAATCTTTTCGAAGAAAATGGTCTTCTCCTTTCCATTGGGCAGGTTTTCCTCCCAACAATAAGCTGTTCTACTCTGATCTCCTCTGGGTTCACCCCCCAATAAGGCCTTGACCTTCTTTCTTTTTTTTTTTTTTTTTTTTTTTTTTTTTTTTTTTTTTTTTTTTTTTTTTTTTTNTTCTGTTTTGTTTTTAATGTGGTCCGATGGACCACGGATCAGATATTAAACTGATCAGAACAGATACTACACTTGATCTTAGCCAAAAGGCCGAGAAAGTTTTTTTTTTTTTTTCTTTTTTTTCTTTTTTTTTTGGGAAGGACGCTTCAGCTCGGAAATGTTCGATTTGTTCGTGATTTCGCCGCCTTGAATGCTGCCACCTGCCTGTCGTTCTGCGCCGCAGCTCTTGTTTGAGAACCCCATGCTGCGTGCCTCCCTCCCCTCCTCAGAGGTCCAGCCCACTCCCTCCTCTCAGCCCTGGACAAGCTCGTGTCTCTGTTGCTCGAGCTAACCTGTGTAGCTCAACCGGTCGAAGACCCCCTTTCCCCGTGCTGTGCGCTCCGGGGCATGGTGGTTAAGCTCCGTGCGGCTATGCACGCGGCACCGCGCGGCTATGGCTAAATCCTAAGACCGTGCCGCTCGCATCACGGGAGCAGAGCGCTACGGCGTCTGCTACCCGCTTTGTCCACCCCGTTGCCATCTTTTTTTTTTCTTTTGTGCATGTGGAGAGTCGTGCAGCGAGGCCCATACTCCCTTGCACCTTCTGTTTTCCCCGCGCGTCCCGCCAATAACCAGAAGACGAGGCCCAACTGACCACAACTGCGGGAAGGACGAAATGTGTGGGCAAGACGATAAACAATGCATCTTAACCAACAACCTGGCAGAATGCGTCCGCCATGTTTTTCGTCAGAGTCGTGCCTTGACGCCCGATGAATGACAGCTCGTCTCGTCAGTGTCCCAGCAGCAAGCAGCGCCTCTATTTTTGTCGTTTCTTCGCTCGTTTTCTTTTGTCTTTTTGTTCTGTTCTTTCTTTGAGAGCCGAGTTGCACTACTCCCCATCCACCAATATTTGGAATGCATCTGGACTTAAGGGTGTCCATATGCATGCAGAGTGTTGGCGGATGGCGAGTAATGCAACCAGGCCCTTTACTCTCCCTCCGACAACATCTTGAATGCATCTGAGCGGAATTGAGGCCAGATGCGTTCACAATGTCGGCCGATGGGAAGTAGCGCAACGGCACGCCCTTTCTCTGGACGCAGCCCAGCTGCACAGACAGAGCGCAGCACATCAATTTGTTTTTTGTTTTGTTTTTTTTAATCGCAGCACATCATATCATATCACATCGCATCACATCCCGTTTTGTCTGTAGCGCGATAAATTTGGACAATTTGACGAACTCGTTGAATACGGGCCCCGCTCCACTCCTCACCAAATGTGCAAAATGGGAATGAATTTTTCTGCTTTAACAGTGCCATATACATCGGAATACATCGGAATATTGCTTGTCGTTTCTGCCTATTGTGAGTAGGTAGCGGGCCGAGGCCTTTTCTCTGTGCCTCGCTGCGGCTCGTGGATTTTATCCCACGTGGACAGGTAATCACTGCTTGCCTGTCTGTCGGGCTCGCGGTTGCATATCGGTCAGCTGGCGTGCAGCTGGCGGGCGGGCGCAATCGGGCGGACACTGTCGGACGCTAAACTTAGGGGTTATAATTTGCCGTCCGATTGGAGAACGGGGGGGTGGAGGGAGGGAGAGAAGGGGGGGGGGGGAGCGGAGGAGCGGAAGGGCAATTCCGGTGACCGTTGTTTTCTTCCTCGTTTTTTTTGTTTTGTTTTTTTGTGCTCGCTTGTCGCTTTCTGCAATTTGTTTTTTGTTGTTTTCGTCTCTCCGCTCGCACTCCCTCATTCCCCTCCCCTCCCCCTCCCCTCATTGCCGTTCCCTTCCGCGCGAGCTTCGCTTCCGCCTCGGAGTTAGCGCCGTCTCCCGCGGCTCTCTTCCCCTCGCAAGGTACACGGGTGCGGCACGATCACTCAACTCACGGTCCCACGAGTTCCCACGGGCCAAGCCCCACCCTTGACCCACGTTCCTCAACCTCTACCGTCTTCCCCCGAACACAACGCACCCTAAAAATGAATGTATACAAGCTATATTCCAGCCAGATACGGCCAAAATGACGGTGCGTTGTGCTCGGGGGAAGACGGTAGCCTTTTTTTCCTCTGTACCCTAGACACATTGCACAATCGACAGAGGAGCTATGGCGCTGCCTGCCGTCTTCCCGAATCATCGACAGGCAGGAACAACGCATCGCAGCTATGGAGCTCCCGTCGTCCCGCGAACACGAAACACTCCTCTGCCATGTGCACAAGCTGTTTTCCTCTTACTTATATGCACACGACCTGTCTTTCTGGTCCCAATTGGACGACACGAGGGTGCGTTGTGTTTCTGGTCCCAATTGGACGACATGAGGGAAAGTTGTGTTCGGGGCAACATGATGATGGTGTATGTGTGTGGGTGGGACCTCACCTCAGGCCCGCGGCGAGGTCCCACTTCCCTTCATGGATGGAATACAAGGGATGGATCGTTATTCGCTGGTCGTTGATCTGCGTCAGCTACTGGTCCAAATGTTTGTTTGTTTGTTTTTTTTTCCCTACGGGTCCAAATGAACAATGCCGGAAATAGTGGGTAGGTGACGGCGTCCTTCTGGTAGCCGGTAGCTCGTAGCCGGTAGCAGGTAGCGTGTAGCAGGGCCTGGGCAGTCTGTTGGGGATAGGGGAGCGACTCGTTATCCGCCGGATCGGGGGAAGGGGGATTGAGTGAGAGGGGGGCGCCGGGTGCGGAAGAGAGAGTGCAGGCGGGAGAGGTGGCAGTGCAGAGCGGCCACGCGGCGCCGTGGACGGGGCCGTGGAGCGCTCGCGCTTCCGCCTTCCGCTCGCATGCCAGCTCACGTGTGGCGATCTTCAGGTGTCTGTGCGGGACGATCGGCGGAGATCCACGGCCGGGGTGCAGGGGGCCAAATCGAGATAGCGAACGTCAGGCGCATCCCGCCACTCCACTGATGGATCCCGCCCGCCCGCTCATGCGCATGCGCAGTCCACGTTTTGCTTTTTGGCGGGACTTGGACACCGCGCCTCTCCGCGCCTCTGTGAATCGGAACAGCCGCTTTCGTTTCGTCGTTTTCCGTCTCAGAGAACCCAAAGAATCGAAAACGACAAAAATGTGGCGGGTGCATGTGGCCATATTCTAGCAGGAAGTTCATTCTCATTTTGCACATTTCGAGAGTGGTGTGGCGATGCCCGCAAACCAAGAAACGGACAGAACAAGAAAGAAGCCATTCGACCAACTAGCCAAACGACGAACTGAAGCCTCGGTACAATACTCTCCAAATGTGAGAAAATGAGAATGAATCTTCACTCAGAACATGGACAGATACACAGCCTTACGTTTTTTGTCGTTTGTATATGTGGAGAGTGGTGCAGCAGGGCTTTTTTTTTGTTTTTTGTTTTGCCATCCGCCAAATTTTTTATAGGGTTAAAAAAAATAAAAAAATTCTGAATGAGGAATCGGATTCGGAATCCTGTCCTGATGCATTGGCTGATGGTCAGAAGTGAAACTACCAGGGCCTAATAAGAATAGACACGTATGCACGCGTAATTAATGAATGGGCCAACGTGCTTTACCGTCTTCACCCTAATAGAACGCCCAGTCATTATCGCTGCATCTGGACTGAACGTTTGGGCCAAATGCAGCGATAATGACCGGGCGTTCTATTCGGGTGAAGACGGTAGGCGTCAACTGCTCTGCAGAAAGATACACCCGCCATCGTCGCTGTCTCTTTGGCATTGAGTGACTTGTACGGTAGAGCCCTACCTATAAGGGCCTCGCCACACTGCTGCTCTGCACTTGAATGAAAACTCATTTTCAAGAGTGGTTGTGGGTGCTGCATGGCCACACATGCGGCCTCGCTGCACTACTCTAGACTCTCGAATTTTCGAGAGTGGGTCACCGCTGCACTTAGAGGCTAGCCACACAGGCTGTCGAAAACCCGGTTTTCAACAATTTTGCATCACCACACAGACTTTCGAAGAATTGTGGCTCAAAAAACTTTCGACAGGTGTCAGAAGGGTCCTTTCTTTCCACAGCCGCCCTCCAGCAACCGTTTCCCTCCGCCTGCAGGTGACGGAATTTCAACAGTGCCCGGCCGACCTTTCGAAAATTGCGTTCGCATTTGCGCTGTCAGGGACTGTTTCGTCAACTTCCGTGAAACCCGTCCGCCTGGCCATGACCAAAAACCTTGCCCCTCCACAGCCTGTGTGGGGAAGGCAAACTGTGGACGGCCGACTTTCGAATTTTTTCTGACACCTGTCGAAACTTTTTGAGTTTCGACAGCCTGTGTGGCGAGCCTCTTAGGGCCTAGTTGCACTACTCTCCATAGGCCAAGTTTGGCGAGTAGGTGCCTGGTTGCACTTACTCGCCAAACTTGACGAATGCAAAATGTGTCAGACGGCTCACCACACCGTCGACACAAGTTGTGGAGAGTGAATTCGGTTTTCCCGCCTGTGCACGGCGGTTTGTGGAGAGTGGTCCGCGGACCTCTCCACAAAACAGCTTTCTGGAGAGTACAGGGGTTCAAGAGTCTACATCAGGTAGACAAAAAAAATTTTCTCTGTAGAAGAAATATAATGGCAAGTAAGTGCAACCAGGACTCGAGTTCGACGCGATTCTCAGTTTTTTCACTCTCCACGCATCCGCCACGAAATGTGACGGATGGCGAGTAG